ACTTTTAGACAAATAGTTTTTTTTTTTTAAATATTCAATTTTACTTTCTGGTTCTTGCAATAAAATTTTTAATTAGATGATACTTGTAGAGTAGAAGTTATATTACCTTAAAAACATAAATGATCAACAAAATATTTTCACATATATCTTTTTATTTCTAAATATCAATTCAAAACAATAAAATGAAAAGTACATTTATAATGAAATTGGTTAAAATTTTGGTTTATTGCAGGGCTCGAAAAACCGCCCGTCCTCGGCGGTCAAAAATTCCCCGTGGACAACAAATTTCTCGAATCCGACGTCCGCGCGGACGGCCATTTTTCCCGTTAATGTTCGTGATACATTTTCAGTTTTTGTTATCTTACAAGAGTCTAGCGCCTCACGTCTAAAATGAACATGTAATCTAGAAATACAGCAACATACTGTGCATGGTGGAATTGATGTTTTCTCTGTCTGGGAGTACTGCTGCGGTTGAAAGAGGCTTTTCAGCAATGAACTTAAAAAAAAAAAAAAAACACATTACGTACTGGTTTTAACCAAGAAGCGTTAAACGCAATTATGAACGTCTACCTAAATGGAAAACCCCTTTCAGATTTCTGTATAGAAACTTCTGTAAATCACTGGTTTGATTGTGGAACTGGCAAACGTCATATTTGATTCATTTAAAAAACGCAGTACCCTCGGATAAATTAACATACCAGATAACTTGACCTTTGTTATTTAAATTATTGCATAAACGAAATACTAGGTTTTACTATTAGTAACCTAGTACTTCTTTTATTACCGTATAATGTAATCCTAGTAATTACTAATTCATTGTGCAATTTATATAAATAAATACACAAGTGGGCGACCTTTGCGCTAAAATACAAACTAAGGTGAACAACGTTTAAGAGCACAAAAAAATATTTATAAATGCATACAGCTGTTTCGGATGCTCAAAAGGCAACCTTCATCAGTGCAACAGAAAGAAATGAGAGAAAACAGGGTAAATATAGAGAAAGGTGACGTCACAGGTGGGGGGGTTAGAGCAACGGCTAATAGGAAGGAAGAGTGAATGAATGACGACGAATGGGAAGCAAGGAACGAAAAAGGGTGGTTAGTTAGGCACCCTTTAAGTAACTAACCACCCTATCACCCATTCACCACCCATTCCTCGTCATTCATTCACTCTTCCCTCCTATTNATGAACATGTAATCTAGAAATACAGCAACCTACTGCGCATGGTGGAATTTATGTTTTCTCTGTCTGGGAGTACTGCTGCGGTTCAATATTCAATGCAAAAATATTAAAATCAAACTTCTTTAGGATATTAGCAACTTACCGACTTATTTTTTCAGTCCCATTAATAAGATAAAATTTTCTAACCTCAAACAGCCCGTTGACAGTCAAAGTAGTTGGGGTATATACCAAATTAATTGCCAATACCTAAAGAAGTTTGATTTTAATATTTTTTAATAGATTTAAATAATGCATTTAAATAAGAAACACATTATTAATCACGAATTTCGACGAAAATTCTAAAAAAATACGTTTTTAATTTTTTATAAAATAACTGAAATTTTTTGAAAAATGTGTTTATGCTTTTTTTAATTTAAAAAAAAAAAAAAAAAACATTTTTAAAAGCACTCTAGATTTAAATATTGTGTTTTGAAGGAAATGTTTTTCATTTAAAAAGTTTGTCAAAAATTTGTAATTTTTATTATTTCAAGTTTTTTCTCTTCAAAATACGTAAAATTCTTCGCAAAAAATTTTTAAAATTGCTCAAGGTTTATATAATGCGCTTTGAAGGTAAATAAATGTATTTTTTATTAAAAAATTTAAATAAAAAAAAAAATTAAAAAAAAAAATTTATTTTTATTTTACCGAAACATTTTTGAAATTCTTGGCAAAAAATGATTACGTGTTTTTTTTTCTTTCTTTTTTTTAAAACATTAGAAAAGAAAAACTCTCTAGAATTAAATGATGCATTTAGAAAGTAAATGAAACATATTTTTTATTCAAAAATGCCGTTGAAAGTTCAGAAAAAATACGTTTTTTTCTCCCGAAACATCTAAAAATTTTTGTATAAAATTGTTTTTGTTTTTTTTCTTTTATCTTAATTTTAGAAAAGAAAAATTTTCAGAAACGCTCCAGATATAAACAATGCGTTTTTAAGATAAATCTAACATAATTTTTATTTATATATATAAATTTTTATTCAAAAATATATAGACGAAACAGGAAGTTTTATGCTTTCTCACCCTAGTCAGATAGGCGGATTTTTCGCTACTTATGTTTAATACTAATAAATAACGGAGAAAATGGGGTTTTTTTTATATAAGGAGAGGGGTTTATCAAAAATAAACTAATACGCTTCCGCACTTTAACTCTTTCTAGGTTAATCTGATAAAATTTTGAANTTATTTTAAAAAAAAAAAAAAAAAAAAAGGGAGAGAGAGAAGCACTGTTAAATTTTGTAAAAACCTTATTTCTAACCGCAACTGTCACATGCTGCAAATAAGGTATCGTTCTTTTTAAAAATTTTATCATTCAATTATTCGCTGCTAGGGGTATGTGAAAGAAGGCTATGTTCTGTCCCCTTTAATGATTGGTCAGCAGAAACTCCTCCCCCCCCCCTGCTTGATAAAAGTCACTTGTGTAATTATTATTAGTTGTGACTTCGACCTCACACAGAACGGACGTTTTTCTTCAATCTTTTTTTCTCTTTTGCTTACGTATTCTTTAGTTATTTTTTTTGTGGATATAATACGGCAGTTTTAGTTTTCGAAGATCAGCGATAGTTTTTTTTACATTCCTGTAACAGTTTTGTGGATTATTCAGGAACTTTTTATAGACTTTATTATTTTTTGAAATGATGCAAGCTCCGCAAATCGTACAAAATGGAGGAATGATTTCTCATATGAACAACATGATGGGGCATCATATGAATGAGGCTAATAATCACAGTGTTCCAGTTCCATCCGTAAAAAAGAAGCAACAAGAAAGGATTCGTCGCCCGATGAACGCTTTCATGATTTGGTCGCGAGTTCAGAGAAGACGAATAGCTCGTGAGAATCCTCAACTGCACAATTCCGAAATCAGCAAAAGACTAGGTGCGGAATGGAAACAAATGGATGAAAACGAAAAGGGTCCATTCATCGACGAAGCCAAACGCTTACGCCAAGAGCACCTACGATTGCATCCCGATTACAAGTATCGTACCCGACAAGAACCTAAACCGGCAGCTACGACATTAGAACCGGTGATGCCTTATGGAGTGCCTTACTATCCAGCCTTTAACCATAGAAGTTTAAAGGCACCTCAAGTGGGTGTGCACATAGATAATAATAGTGCAACTCTAGTTAATGCATCTTATCCCACGCATTTTCCTTACGCTGCAACCGGCTATCCTGCCTCTTCTCCAGCAGCGCTGAATTTTCAGCACAGTCAAGTACCTGGATCAGCAGCTCTTTACCATCGGATGCATTCCCAGCCAGTTAACCAGGGTATTTTTAATTCTGATTTGTACAATCGCAACGAAAAATCCAATGGGTCGTCTAGTGCTAGCAATCAGCACTACCAGAATAACTTACATATGCCCGCAGGACCCATCCACACACCTCCATCGATTTCTTCTGGACTTAACCTGCCTTATGCAACGAAATCAGAGATGCTTGCAGTTTCAAGCTCTTACAACATGCCTTTGGGCTATAGTTCTCAAACTTACAACAGTGTAATGCTGACACCCCCTTCTTCAATTTCACCAAATCAGCACATTATTTCTCCAAGTCCCACCATAAACCAAGAAATAGATCAAACAAACAGTAGTCCTAGTGTTCCACCTCAACAGGATCCATCATCTATGCCCATAAGTTCTTTTGATGTAGACCTCCATTATTTTGAGGGACTTAATATTGCATAAAAATTTTATGTATGTTAAACATGTTCATTATTTTGAAAGAACACTTTATAATCATAAATTAACAAATTTGAAATAAAAAGATGTTTTAATTAAATAAATTTTTCTTTAGTAATGACATCTTATTTTTCTCGGGCAGTGTATATTTCACTGTCCGAGTTTTTTCCCCTTTCTTTTAATTCATGTATATTCCATTTATTATGTATCTATATGTAGTGTATATATTTTGATATCTGTACGAGTTATTCTATAATGATGTAGTTTTTATATATTTTACTGAAACACTTCAGCATTGTTTTGTGATACAGTTTCTGTTATAACATTATTGTTATTATAATTTCTAAAAAAGTTTTTACTGCTGTGATAAATTAGTACATGTTTCATTAATTTGTTTCATAAATTGATTTAATTGTATTTATAGTTTTTACTTTATTCCTTCGTAGTAACTTTATTAATACAATCATTTAATTTTACAAGACAGTAAAAATTTTAAAAATAGACTTAGAAATAATGCTTTATAATCATAAATTAGCAAATTTGAAATAAAAAGATGTTTTTACTAATTACATCCTTCTTTAGTAACAACATCTTTTTTTTCTTTTTTTTTTTCTTGAGCGATGAATATTGCACAGCTCAAGTTTTTTTTTCTTTTTTTTAATAATGTATATAGTACTTTAATTTTTACAACATGTATATCTGTATATATTTGGATATGTTAAGTGATGAATGAATTTATTTGTATACGAAATTAAAATATTATTTACTATATTATTATATATAATTTGAATTCAAAATGAGAGTATATGGTTTTAATGTTTCTAGTATTATAAGAAAACTACAAAACCAGGTAAGTTTTTTTACTATGCTCAAAATAAATAAAGAGGGAAAGTATTTTGTATTGTAAGAAGTTGATGAAATTAGGAATGTTCTTCAATAAATTCTTCAAGATTCAAAAAGTATGCTACAAAATTATATTTTACTATAATACATCAGAGTACTAAACTATCATCGGAAATATTTGAAATAATAATTTAAAGCCGAGGAATATAGTAATTAACCCAATTTCAAACTTCTATTTTGATTTATAATTTTTATGTCATTTTTGTTCATTGTTATTAAAAACTTCTTACTTTTCAGAAATGCTGATGCAGAATATTTTCGGGCTTTCTGTCACACACCTCTCTAATTTTAACATCTTTCTGGAAGTTACTTTTAAAAATAACCAATATACACGTGTTACTAATTTAAGGTAACAAAAGCATCATCCAAAAAAAACAAAAAAATCTATTCCAGTTAGATAAAATAATTTTTCAATTTAATATGTAATATTTTTTTATTCTAATATAATGGGAGATATTCTTGCATTTTGTAGGGGGAAAACACACTAATTATTTCCTTTTTTTGCATTTTGTAAATCGTCAAAACATTAAAAAAAATAATAAATAAAAAAAAAACATGTAATCAATAGCAGAACTAAAACAGTAGCAAAAAACCGTGTAATCCGTAACTACCAAAAAAAAAATTATGGACTGCAAAATCATCTGAATCGTATTCTTCAAAAAGGGGTAGCTAAATTTCTGTTTTCACTTATTATAGTATTTAAAGTATTGGATTTTAAAAGCTATGTGAAACAGTAGTAATAACTGCATAAAAAAATAGAACAAAAATGTCTGCAGAAAAGAAAACCATATTTTTTACTTCCTTATTCTTTATTCTCAAATGAGAATAGAAAATTTTTCTAAAATTTCTACAGAAAAGAAAACTAAAATATTATTTTACTTCCGAAATATTATTTTACTGTTACGTTCGGCAACATTCTGCGACAATGTTGCTTTTTCGCCATGATTTTGGGACGGGGATCAGAAAAGACTAATCTACTTGGGTCTTTTTAAAATTTATGAGTTCTATTTTCAGTAGTTTTATGTAAGTGTTATTAATCAGAGTTTAAAATGATAATAATAAATTGAATGATTTTAAAATTAAGAATACTAATGTTAGAAAGAAGACAGTCATAAATTTTCATAAAAACATACATAAAATAATTTTATAAAATAACAAAATAAATTAATCTTAATGTGTTTTGAAATTACTTTCAAATATATATATTTTTTAAATTTAACACAAATTTTTAATATTAGTAGGTTAACAGAGATGCATAAAAATCAACATGGAAATAACAAATTTTATTTAATTTTCAGTGATTATCCAATTTATTAAAAATAAATAAGAAAAGAAAGACACTTGCAAATATGCAGGTCTATACATCGATATAAACTGACCTTCTGTTTGTCTTGGTAACCAATCAAAACAACTGTTTCTAAAAGAAAAAAAATATTATTAATGAATTAGAATTGAGGGAATAAACAACAATAAAATCTAATCTACAAAACAATATGGCTATGTCTGCTTTATAGGGAAAAATATTATTTATTTATTATTATTAGAAATTTTATTATTAATTTATAAAAGAAAGTAGTGTTCAAAAGATTCATCAAAGTTGTGCTTATGACTAAATATTATAAACAAAACATAAATAATATTACAAAATTAGAGAAACTACCTCATTGTTGAAATTCAGAATTCTGTGTACCCCAAATGTTTGTATGTTTATTTTATTTCTGAGCCTTTATTTAAGTTGTTTACCTTTATTGGATGGATTATCTTAACCCTACTTTTTTTTACGAGAAAATAAAGAAAACAATAGAAATTAAGAACAAATAACAACAAAAACGCAGACATACTAGATACAAAACACAAAATTGCAATAATGAAGTAAATTCTTGCCTATTGAACTGAAACTAGTCTTTGTGCCATTATTTGACTTTCATTTAAGTCTGTAACTGATATTCACAACTTAAATTGGTTCTCTTAACCCTACTTTTTCTTTTTTATCAAAAAACAAAACTAGAAATGAAAATACAGTATAAATAACATCAAGAAAAAAAGTAGACATACTATTGGTATAAAGCACAGAATTCTCTTTCGACGTTGAGGTAGGTTCATGTTTATAGCACTGAAATTACATTGCAGTCTCAACTGCACATAAAATAATTGAATAATCTGCTTTTGCAAATAAAATTAAGTAAAACTTAATTATTTTTTTACAAAATAAATGCTAATTTTTCCTGTTTAAGCAATTATTTATGGTTACTAGATTGGACANAAGAAAACTAAAATATTATTTTACTTCCGAAAGGAAGTTCGGTAACGTTAAGTTACGTTCGGCAACATTCTGCGACAATGTTGCTTTTTCGCCATGATTTTGGGACGGGGATCAGAAAAGACTAATCTACTTGGGTCTTTTTAAAATTTATGAGTTCTATTTTCAGTAGTTTTATGTAAGTGTTATTAATCAGAGTTTAAAATGATAATAATAAATTGAATGATTTTAAAATTAAGAATACTAATGTTAGAAAGAAGACAGTCATAAATTTTCATAAAAACATACATAAAATAATTTTATAAAATAACAAAATAAATTAATCTTAAATTTTTAAAAAAAATTTCTCTTAAACATATTTTTTAAAAATTCTATTTAATTTTTGGCAATTAACCAATTTATTAAAAATAAACAAGAAAAGAAAGAACACTTGCAAAGATGCACATCTATACATCCGCATAAACTGATCTTCTGTTTGTGTCGATAACCAATCTAAACAACTGTTTCTAGAAGAGAAAAAAATATTATTAATGAATTAGAAATGAGGGTAGAAAGAACAATAAAATCTAATCAGCAAAACAATATGGCTATACTTTCTTTATAGGAAAAAATATTATTTATTTATTGTTAGAAATTTTATTTATTTTTTATTATTAATTGTTAAAAGAAAGTAACGTTCGAAGAATTCATCAAAGGTGTGCTTAAAGCTAAATATTATAAACAAAAAACAAATAATATCACAAAATTACAGAAACTACCTCATTGTTGAAACTCAGAATTTTGTGTACCCCAACTACTGTAAGTTTAGTTTTGAGCCTTTACTTTAAGTTGTTTACCTTTATTTACAACTTTAATTAATTCTCTTAACCGTACTCTTTTTTATGAAAAAATAAATAAAGCAAACAATAGAAATGAAAAACGAATAACAAAAAAAGCAGACATACGGAATACAGAACACAAAATTTCAACAATGAGGTAAATTCTTGCTTATTGAACTGAAACTAGTCTTTGTGCCATTATTTGTGCTTTATTTTAGTCTCTCACCAATATTCAAAATTTAAATGGGTTCTCTTAACCCACTTTTCTTAGCAAAATATAAAACTAGCAATGGAAATAAAGCATGAATAACAGCATAAAAAAGTAGACATACTATTGATACATAGCACAAAACTCTGTTTTGACATTGAGGTAGGTTCCTGCTTATAGAACTGAAATTACATCACAGTCTCAACCGCACAGAGGATAACTTAATAATTTGCTTTTACGAATAAAATTAAGTAAAACTTAATTATTTTTTTACAAAATAAATGCTAATTTTTCCTGTTTAAGCAATTATTTATGGTTACTAGATTGGACAACGAGGGAAAAAATGAACTTTTCTCTTTTTNTTTTTTTTAAAGAAATGTGTTTCCAGCTAAATTGAAATTCTTTCTCAGTTAAGAAGAGATCAGATTCAGTTGATGAGAGAGATAATTTAAGATATAAATAGTGGCCACTTTAATAGGATCTTCCTATCTAATTACTGCTCCAAACTGGTGTAAGTGGGTAGTTTAAAAATTAATCAACTCTTGTAAGGTGTTATTTAGTGCAAAAGTTTTTTTTTTACCTCTCTTTGACACACTTCGTTAGCACACCATTTAGAATATGAAAGAGTAGGAAGCAGAAAAATGATCTATTAAATATTTGTCAAGTTTTTAATTACTGATTTCTTCAGAAGGAAATAAATAGCATTATACTTTTTTATTAGCATTGATTTATTCTTGTATAAATTTAAATGTCTTTATATTTTATGATGCTGTTTTACCTATAGCTATTTATTGACTGTTAAAATAAGTTTATGCCTTTCAAAACACTTTAGTATGTAGATACATACCATTTTAAAGTAAAATTTTGTAATAACATTTAGAATTCTTCA